TTGAACATAGACTGGTCTGTTTTGTTTAAGTTTGGCTGTTGTATTTGGATATGCAAGTTAACAAAATATTACGTTGAACTAGTTAACCCCACCTCTGTCACGTGGGGTAATAAACCTGCTTACATATATGAATTAAAAAACATTCAAATGAAGAATTATAAGAGACAAATTCTACTAAGAGTCACCTACATTTGAAATTGTAGTAAAGACAAGTAAGTCACAATTATGACACGTTAGCATCTGCTTCCTGAAAATGTTTTTTAAATGTAGCAGTGTCAGCGATTTTGTAACTCACTCTTACAAGCTCAACTGCCTGTTTACTTTGTGAAGAAGTTAAACTTACTATCGTTACTCCTCTTACTATAACTAATAACTACTGTTAGTATTCGCATAATAATAATAATAACGCCCGATAAATTCCAACTTGTTTTGAGAAACAAACTTCACCGCATGTAGCTAATTTCTCCCGTTTCCATTAAACTGACATTTTCCAGCATTAGTAACGTTTTCTTAAGTGTCAACGGTTAACGTTACTCTTCTCATACTTTCAGACAGTAGTCTGTTTAAAGTATGCTTGTTAATGTTGTCGTCGACAAACATACTTGGCGTAAGACACCTAACCTTCTTATATACCGTCTATGCGTCTCACGTTAGGCAGGCAGACGGTATTACAATAGTCCTGGGTGTGTTCACGAAACTTCTACAACCCAGCCTTGCTAACTTAAGTTACACCTCAAACGCTCTCGCAGGCCACTGACAATCCCCGGTCCTTGATTTTTACTGGAGCGCCATCTTGACCTACTCCAGGAGCCCACCGTCAACGTCACAGCCCAGTCGCTGTGTTGACTCCAGAGCACAGCGGCTAAACATGCTAACTAGCTCGCAACAACACTGTAATTACCAGTTAGCTTAGCAAATAAAGGCTAACGCCTCAACAAGGTGTGTATGGCTCGTGATTTTGGACCACCTACCCGCATGCGAACTTCGTAATTTGTGTAACGGTTCCGTCCAACTCCGACGGTTTGTGGATCACTAACGTCTATTTCCAGGTAGTTGCTGGGGGGGCCGTAAGCATCCGTCAGGTCCTGGGGCTTGGAATTCAACCGACGAGTGTCGGCCACCGCAGGATCTGTCATTTTGTCGGGTTGTAATTTTTGGACGACCAACGGCGAATCAAACCAACTAAATGCACGGTGATGTCTTAAATCTCATCTGAAGACATCAATTGATTGCGATAGCTGATGGGTTCAGCTAGGGAAGTAGCGTTAGCTGACTTGTATCGCTCTCTTCTTGCGGGGGCCAGCTGCCCTGCGCCCTAACCGTCATGAATCTGAAAAATGCGTAGACTCGGTTCCTTACTCTGGGACACTCTCCTCACTCCCTCTAATGGACAGGGAGGTAACTGTACAGGCTCTAATATCCATCATTGCAGCAGTGCAACATACATTTACACGTAAATAGACAATAGTAACGTTATATTTATTAAACAGACAGGTCATGAGCATACTGGATGTAGGACACAAACCCTAAAATACAAACGTTAGGTTACAAAAAAATGTCCAATCACACTCAAAAAGTACATTCAAAGATATTAAGATATATGTAACATACACATTTATAGGAATATAAAAAAAATGACGCTAGGTTGAAACTATTGTTATCCAAGCCCACTATGCGACCATACCATCTTGTTATTGTAATGTCGTGGTGCCACTTTCCAATGAGCCATCATTTATTATAGGGTTTAAACTACTGTAGTGACTTTTCTATTGCACAATGAATTGTTTAATTATGTTGTATAGACCAATTTCAAGGCCTTAATAACAACACATTTTGTGAAGGCAAGGCAAGGCAAGTTTATTTGTATAGCACATTTCAACAAGGTAATTCAAAGTGCTTCACATAAAACCATTCATTGAAACAATAAAAACAAGTCATTAAAACACACAAAAAAAAACAGTGTAAGAAACAAAATACAGTAGTAAAATGCAGAAATGCAGGTTATCCCTATACACAGAATTATTCACACAATATCTACGTGTTCCAAACTTTGACTTGCGATAGTTGATACTCAGTTAGGAAATCACCGGAATTCGACTTTCAGGGCGCAAACAATCAGTGTGTATGGAATACACCCGAGTCACTGATCTGAGCACCCCTGTTAGTCTACACAGTGAGATACACTAGTCAAGTATTTTCCACCTCAATTCTTAATTGGACGTGGGACTCTAACCCCGTCTAGACGCGGGACTACAACCCGGTCTCGGGACTCTAACCCGGCCTCCCTGAGGGCTTATTTAGCGTGGGACTACAATCCCGCCTCGGGACTCTAACCCGGACAATTGGACGTAAAGACTCACTTTGGCTGGCATTTATCCTTCAATTTGGTAATAATGTGGTTATATATGAATCCATTAATAGATGCTAAAGGGTTCTCACGATCTAACAACCCATCAAGTCTGCATTTATAAGTGTTAATCAGTCATTAAAAAAGTGTATTTACGATATGACATCCAGTATTTAAATTGTAAACAGATTTTCTGTTGCAGGAATTTTAAGATATTTCCAAACTTGACAACCCCAATTCGCAGATAGCATTAGTAAGTGATGATTTATAACCATTAATAAAGCCAATAGTTAATACACTACAGCTTATAAACCCTTTATAAAGGATACCTAATTAGAAAGTGGCCAAATGAGTGAACAATGAATGCTGCCTTTTTGGCCTTTTACATCTTGTGTTTTTTTGTCAGTACGTAAATAAATTGTGAATATTGGTATAATAGATGTTATCAATGTCATACAACTCTGAAACCAACACCCAGTTTACTGTTACTTTTATAAATGTTGCTAAACGCACAACAATACATCTTGAGCAAGCTATTTGAGTTATAAGTTGAAATTAACTTTCAATCAGTTGTTGAGATATTTTGCTGTAATAGTCAAACAGAAGAGAGTCAAAGTCACATGAGAGTAATAATATTTAAAACTTGGTCAGTGCCAGAGTCTATAAAGCTGGTATCACATTCCTAGTGAAGTACTCTGTATAAACTAATCTATTTTGTGATTTAGGCATATGGATTTGTTTCATTACATAACGTCTCATTAAAGGTTGGATATATGATAAAATATACACATATCAATGCACATCAAACTCATATTGCTAAGCTCAACTTAGGCAAAATATTAAAACCTAAAAATGGCAGATAAAGAAAAAATACCAGACTGAAGCAAAATGTGGAGTGAAAATATAGTCAGTGATTTTACTATTTTATCATCCTGTAAGTGTCAGGAATGAAGCCCTGCTTGCTGATACAGACACTCATTTAATGATTTTTAGTGTGGCTTTTCCTCCTCCTCTGCTGAAGTTACATTCATGTTGTCATGTGAAGCTGGGCTTTTAGATTAATAACAGTTTTTAAGAAACATGGTACAAAAATGACTAAATTATGAAGTTTAGTCATGTGAAATATTTATCTCTAATAATAAAGTTTATGTTTTAGGAAAAACTGTGACATTTTATCGACCTTTACTGATGTTAACTGACAGTTATGTTTAAATCAGGGATTAGAGGAAGTGGAAGTTCTCAATGCCCTTTTTTCTGATATGTGAGGGGAACTTCAGTTTGTTCTCCTCTGAGCTGAAATATACAGACCACTAATGAAGAAAGAGAAAACTGTGCTGTGAATGTTGGTGCCTCAAAGTGGTTGACAACTTGATATATATTTATACCCTGAAGCATGTTTTCAAGAGGAACTTTTGAACTGCGTGTCACTAATGAAAAGGGTTATATCAATGAAGTGGTTCAGAGTTTTTTTATTTGTGGTAAAATAAACTAATTGATCAGGCATTTTAAGGATTTGTTTAACCTATAACTGCTGCATTAGGTTGTTGGTATTCAGAAGCATTAATAGCTTAAATTTAATCAATTGCTTAAGTTCCTCAAACAGATATCTGGTTTCTTCTCATAAGGGGAACACAACCTTTCTGATCTTTGCAGTCATGCAGGAGATCTGCATTGTAATTCTTTGCCTGAGATGCCTCCTAAACAGAAACCATCTCCTCCTCAGTTGAGACTGTGGAGGTGGAAGAGGAGCAGGAGGTGGACAGGTCCGATTCGTTCCCAGGCACGAAGACAGAGCAGGCCTCGCTGTCGGACTGGGAGACATGGCAGTACTCACGGACAAGACAGGGATGCTCGTTGTAGTTAAAACTCTCTTTCAGGCCTTTGGGGAGTTGAAACCAATCCTTTAAAAAAAGAGAAACATCTATGACTTGTTTTGCTGTCAAAGTTCAAAGTTCAAAGTTAGCTTTATTGTCAATTCCACAATATGTACCGAACATAGTTGAAAAGACGTTTCTCTCCAGTCCAACATATAAACATATAAAAAATCGCCTCACATTAAGGTACATGTCTGTCTTGTACATGTCTTTCAATGACTGCAGTGTTTTGTCAACTTCTGAATAAAACAAAAGATTAGGTTTGAATACAGATCTTTGGTGTGATGGCAGCACAGAGCTCTGGATGCTACTAACCTCGACGTTTTCAAGGTCCGAGGATGGCTTGGGAACCACAGGGATGAAGATGATTCTGATTCTGTACGGGAGGGAGGCACATGTTCACTCTCACATGATCAGAGATCATTACATTACTTTTGTTTCCCCCGGCTCTTCGGCACCATTGAGCGAGATTAAAGGAATACTCTGGACTATGAAGACACTGAATACAAATGCTCCTACGTGTCAATTGATTGAAAGTGCATTACCAAATGTGAATTTAATTCCCCTCATCACTTATATGTACTGCCATTTTAAACAATTAACCTTTGTACGGAACAATAATAATTGATAACCGTTTGATTTGGTAAATATTTTAGATACGAACAAAAACAAATGGAAAACTGAGGAAATAAGTATGCACATTGCTGGTACTCTGTAGTATACTATAATCCTATAACTACCGTCATTTATACATTACAAGTGACCCACCTTTCATGGTGCAGCAACATCATGACCAGTAGGATGAGGATGAAAGCGCCCACCACGTACAGCACTGGGGTCCACACAGGCATCAACTTGTTCATTCGATTGGCGTCTGTGAAGGGCAGAGAGATGTGGATTGTTCTTGTTTCATAATCTTGTACCTTGGTTGTGTTGTGCACCAGCGTATGCTCACACAGCGGTTTGATATTGTGTGCTCATGGAGAGCAGCATCTAAAACCCATGTTTAATCATCTTTGCTTCGTAAAATGACCCTGTACTGATTTAAGGAGAAATAAGTCAGGTTTTTACTGTCATATTGGCCACATTGGCCATCATGCACTGAAAATTAGATGATTTTTATGGCCGAGCATAACTATTACTGGCTCCCCAATTACAATTCTGGCTTTGAAAACTCATTTACCAACCTTGGACAAACAAATAAGAGAGCATACCACTACAAACACATACTGTACGCATCATTTTCAAAAATGTCAATTCCTCATGTTGGAATTAAAGGGTAACTTTGTTATTTTTCCCCCTAGACCTTATTTTTGTGTCTAAGTGACTAATGGGCACAACAATTGTTGAAATTGGTCTCGTAGTAACGCTGTAGACGGCAGCCACTAAACAACGTCCACTAAAAGGGTGTGTTTTTGCCACTGACAGACTGATTATTATTATACGTGTCTGACAACATTATGGAAAGGACCGAGAGTTGGAGAGAAGAGTGCTGGTGCTGTCAGAGTTTGTTGTGTTGGAGTACAGAAAGCTTAGTGCTGTCCAAAATATTTCAAACATCATGGTTGAATATTTGGCTGATTTTGACAATGTGGATGCGACACACAACATCAGAATGAGACTTCTCTGAGCGAGACTTGGTTTCACCAAAGAGCACACCTGCATGACCAAGTCTCTATAACAAAGATGACGCAATACAAACTCCGCCAGTGGTTTGAAATGGTATACACTTCCTGTCTCCCAAGTGGGTGTGGTCATGGCATGTTCGCCTCTACCCCCATCCCCCCACTTTTCTGGAAGTGGTCTTGGATCAATAAGGCAAGCAGATTGGGTTATATTATAAATTGTTGTCACCATTTGTCACTTAGACACAAAAACAAGGGGAAATAGAATCCAGGTTGAAAATGACCAAAGTTACCCTTTAATTGCTTAATTGAATCCCATGAGACACATAGGTTCAACGTTTTGGAAAAACTGCCCACATACTGGCTCCATGCCTGAGAAATGAATGTTTAACGTCCAATATAGGAAGAAATGTACACTAATATTGTTCTACCCATTCTCCATAACTCATACAATTAAGTTCATATTTATATACAACTCACAACTACCCCAATGCTATACATTATTTGTGCAGGCTTAAAGCATGTGACTTTAAAAACCATCTATTAGTGTGTTTGTGATATCCCACATTATTAACGGCTTTTTTGATTACGTCATTCTTTCAGCTAAACTACTGTGAGCTACTTTATATTGACCTTTTCCACAGCAGACACTTTTTGCATTTTCACCTGTGCTGTTGTTGGATCCCCAGACCACAGGCTGACTCCAGTCACTCCAGAAGATAGACTCTCCACAGGACAACGCTATTCTGCTCCTCACTTGCAGCTCATATAGGGAACTGCTGGAGGGCAAGTTGACGCAGTACTCCTGCACCGCAGTAGAGACTTGATTATTCTGTGGACAGTGAGATGGAGAGGAGAAAGGAGATGGGTGCAAACTAAAGACTATATCACGAAACAAAGAATGAAAAAGAAGGATGAGAGATTTTTTGATCCTTCAAACTGCCTACCTCCCACTTCCTGTTGTTGACCCTGTAGCGAACCTCACTCTCCACACAAGCAACATAATCCTGGGACCAGTTGACCCACAAGTTGGAGTCGGATCGTCTCTGGACAGTCACGTTAGTTGGTGGATTTAACTTGACTGGAGACGACACAGACCATTGAAAGATACAAAATACATAATGTGATGACAAGGTGCTTATAGGGCAGCCAATATATTTTCACCCTTTTCATTTCCTTAATTTCCTTCCTTTTTTTAATTGTTTCTAAATAACAGCATTGTTTTCCTTTTCTAAAAGATGATTATACATGTATGTTACAGTTGTGCTGCATCTCTCCCATCAAATATAACTTTCTCTTCTTCATTGATTGATTTACTATTTTGAATAGTACCTCACAATGTTGTGTTGCACCCCAGTGAATAAGCATACCTTTTGTTTTGAGTTCAAGCACCTTCTGAGAAATCTGTTTGCCATGTACCAGTTTGGTGTTAAATGAGTTGAACCTCTGTCCTTTCTGGTAGGGCTGTTTACATCCAGTGTTTGTATTGTTCTCTCGCAGATAGTTGGAGCACACACTGAATTCTTTGTCAGGTTCAAACCTGGAGAGAAATCACAATTTAGACATTGACATACAAAGCAAAGTGTGGCGGTTACGTTTTTTGGAGTAATTTTCTACTTTTGGATATCAGGAATCGTATTTATCAAACGTTTTAAAGTGTGCTATTCTGCAAATACGTGTTATTTTGATTTAAAACATGTTTTTTTTGTGTGACAGCTCTAATATCACCAATATTAACATCAATGTAATGGATACATAATCTATGAACAGGGATAAATAATAGGAAACTGGCTGGAATGGAAACAAATTAAAAAAACTAAACTGTAGCAGGTGTTGGCAGTTATCAGAGAACTGATATTAGGAGAATTGAGTTCCACACTTCAGAATATAGACCATGATCGTGTATGGAAAGTGATCGCACCCCAGATAAATGCACAAAAGGAAAAAGTGGTATAACATCCTTTCAGAAGTTCATATCACGTGCAAAAATCATTTTGAAGAATTTCTTTTACTTTTATCTTTCACGTAAGTCCAGCATTTTACTCTTTGCAGTTTGATCAATTCAGATGACGTAACAAAATGTTTGGGTTTTTTTAGGGTTGACGTGAGTAATTACTAACCGGCTGTAGAAGGTGTAATTGACTTCTGGAGTCCCCTGCATATTCCAGGAACAGTGAACATATTTCCGATGCACCACCAAACAGTCTACTTCTGTCAGAGACACAAGAAGGTTGAGACAGAATAGTTAACGATGAACAGAAAACAAAAATCATAAGGATACACACTTATAACTTACGCAAACAGTAATAGACTAACAGCAGTTTAATCACAATGAGGAAATGGCAGCACAATGACGTCAAGGGGAATTTACACAAAATGTGCTGGACCAAGGAAGTAAGACTTTACCATAAACTGACATTTTAATTCAATTTGACAATGGAAGTTGATTATTTACTTAATTAAGGCCAAATCATGTTTCCTATTCATATTGTGCAGTTCCCACCATTCTTGTTTAGATTTTATTTTTAGTAATGCTATACAACATATGGTACAAATCACTCATACATTGTAAAGATTGTTTTTTTTTATGATCATTGATTATTAACGAATACTAGATGTACATTTGAAACAAGAAAATCAGCTTCACATTATGTTTGTCAGATGTTAAACAATTTGATTATGCCAGAAGCCCTTAAGCAAATTCAATAACTGCTCAGATCCATCCAAATAGGCTAAAAACAGTTATTATTAATATCACAATTCACCTATAGTTACAATTTTTGATTTTAAATGTTCTTACCAGGTGGTTCTCTGGCAAACACATGTGCTGTCAGACAGAGAAGCAAAAGCAGTCGAGTAGGCATCGTGACACACAGAAACAGGATGTTCTCTGTATCTGCGCCCGTCTGCTTCTACATCTCAGTATCGATGTGTTGCATATATCTGTGTTTGCTGCTGTGTTTTTTTTGTCAGCGGAAGCTGTTTATAGATCAAGATGACACTCTTGCCGCTATAGGCCTTCTGCTGTAAGGCTGTAATGTAAAGTAACACAGAGGCAATTAAAATAAATGTAATATAGGGCAACTACAGACTACAATATTCCCAATAAAAGTTGTTTCAACAGTTGTAAGCAGTTTTTAAATTTTCAAAAAAGTGTTTAGTTAAGTGATAAGAACACAGATTCATACAAAGAACATTTATAACTTAATTTCACGTAATTTTTAGTTCATTACAGGTAATACAATTTTTCAAAAGCTGCTAAAAAAGTGTCTCCAATACACATTAGACACACAATACATTAAATAAGTGTTCTGTGTAACTGGCCAAACATTATTTTCTGAGTTTCTGACCTTCAGTCACTAAATGTGCTAAATATGTGTTAAATAGGAAACCTGCTGCTTCAGACCAGAAGAAGGGGAGCAGGTGGTAGAAAGATAGTGGAGGTAGAAACCTTAGAAATTAATATCTCAACACCTGGGGGAGGGTGTTGAATACAAGTGAGATGACATGGAAGTTGGGCAGCAATTACTGATATTAAACCAGTGGAACTATAATGATTTAAAACTATGGCAAATAAGTTGTAGGCCAATTATAAATTATTATATATAATCTATTATTGAAAATAATAAAGGGAGAATATGCTACTGCCACACTTTTATAAGGTTATAAGGTTTTTGTCACCTGTCAAAAAGCACATGCACTTTTTTGGTCAATTTCATTTTAAACCAACTTAACTTCTTAGCAAAAGAAAGACAAAGTAGAGAGAAAGTCAAATCCACATCATGCTCAAATCCACATCATGCATCATGTTTGTGATAATATACTGAGTTTTTGACGACATTTTGCTGTTTTGTGTCATGTGTATGTTGTTTATGACAGAATTAAAATCAAAATGTGCACAAAAAGTCTTTAATTCATGTCTGCCTTTTTAACAAGAGCAATTAGGAACTAAAACACACGTTGCGCATGACAAAGTCATGTGATACCAGATAAGTTTCACTGTTTTTGTGTGTGCTGTTCCAAGGTTGAGTTATGTGGGTTTCGTTTCCTGTCAGAGGAAACTGTTTCAGAAATAAAGATTGAGAAGTTAAGCCTACATCTGAAGTGTGTACAACAACACATACAAACTGCTAAATCGCCTTTATTTAATAATTAAAGACACGTGGACTTCCTTTATTTTAGATACAAACACATTTACAAATTGGTATATTTTGGATGTATTATGTGTATCTCCAAGTTGTACTCTCTGTGTACTCATTCATCAGTTGTAAATAATTACATGGTCAAATGAAATACTGCCAATACAAATGTATATATTATTGATATTATATCAAAGGTAATGAAAAAAATATACTGCATATACTGTACTTCTGCAGCATAATCAAGACCATCCCAGCTGCATCCAAGTTATAAATATGAGAAATTAAGCTAAAATGAATGCAATGACCATGTGGGTGAGCAAGTATTAAAGGAGTAGTAGACCAATATTAAATTATTTGAGTAAGAGTTAGCAGTAGGTCTCTAGTCCTCGTCAATGCAAATTACTTTTAATTTTTTCTTCTTATATACAGTACACTGAAAGCAAAGGAATCACTTTTCCTGAAATTTGTCCTCCAGTGGTCTCATTTACTTGCCAGTTGAGTTAACAAAGCAGCTATTTGATACAGTGAAGTAAATACGGTATATTTACTTTGATTTATTGAGTAAAAACATTAACTTTCGAAAGCAGGAAATTCAGAACAAAAGTCAAAATTAGAGCTCTGAAGATAATAAGCAGCTTTGCAACCTTTTTTGGGCTTTACTGTGAATGTGATTCTTCATGTGTGTGTGAAGGAGTGCGTGTGTGAGGAAAGCTTGTTGATGCAGACTTTAAACACGTGAAAAACATTTTAAAAAGGAATGCCCTCTTCGACAAAAGTGTGAATGAGAAATGTTTCATTTAAGGTGTGATGATGGATGAATTATACACACAATAAAGTTCATCACTGCACTCAGTATGATCTATAGGTGTAACAATTACATAATATATGATGCAGTTACACAAGATGGCGAGGTCTATTACAAGTAATTTCACCAAAATCAATTTCAGTTTTTCTTTAATTGTCATTATCCTGGTGACTTTATTTATTATTTACATATTTTGATGCAGTTTAATTATTATTAGTTTTATTGTTTGTCAGTTTGTTTGTGTTCATTTTTTATTTTATTTTTTCTACTGCATTTCATTGTGCAACGTTAGCCTACCGTGTAATGATAACCAACGTCAATCGGGGAAGAACGGAAGAGGTCGCTGTTTTGTGTCATGGGCTGACTTTTATTTTGAAGAACCGGATGTTACAATGTTTTGATAACGGCTGCGGAAGAAGCTGTCAGTTGGCCGTTTCTCGTCTAAGCAGTAGCTAGTTTCCCATCAACACCGACACTAATTCAACAGCAAATGTAACCGTTTCACAGAAAGCCACAATGGGATTTACACCGAGAAGCTTTCTTGGTGTCAAACCGTCGAAAGCGCTTCTGTTGTTGCCTTTTCTGTTGACATTAATGCTCGCCGGGAGCCAAGGCGAGAGCAATGCGATGGACAACGTCGCAACGGAGAGGCTGGCTGAGGAGAGCCACCGACAGGACAGTGCCAACCTACTCATATTCATAATGCTCTTAACACTCACCATTTTAACTATATGGTTGTTCAAACACCGGCGATTTAGGTTCCTGCACGAGACAGGACTCGCCATGATCTATGGTAAGACCTCTGGCGTTTATTTCTATCCATCCATATACGTTAGGTTAGCTAAGTCAGTGTAGCGTCGGTGCTAGCTGGCTTTGGTGCCGTTAGCTCCTCAAACTTAACCAGTAAGCTCATTTGACAGCTTATTGTTATATTACAAGATACATGGGAGAAGATACCTGGGAAATATGATGTATAAGCACACTGTTGCTGTCGTTAGCTTTTAAGAGGAATATTATTTGTCCAGTGTGTACAGTCCACAATAGTACACAACTTAAACCGTATTAGGATTGTGGAATTGACATTTTGTTGTCTTTTTGTTCGAATTGGTGGTCTGTCACCTCTCTAATTAACTAATTGGTAATGACTACAATTGTTGGGAAATATAAGACAAGATCCTTCCCTTTGCCTAATTAGACACCTGTCATTTTCATCAGGCAGTGAGAAGCTGAATGGTTGAATAGATACTCTCTTCTTTTCGCAATTAACCAATAATTACCTTGTGTTATTGTAAGACCCGATTCTAATTCAAGTGTTTGGCACAGCCAAATAATTAAAAGCTGTGTTTTTAAATAGAACAAGGAATCACACAAGCAACCCCAGTGTCCTGCAAACAAAATTGTAAATACTCCTATTATATATAAATAAAGGACATTATTGCTATTGTCATTTACTAGAGATCCTTGGCTAACTGCTTAGCCTTCACTCCCTCTCTCTCCTCTTCCTCTTCCTCTCTGAAGGCGTGTTGGTGGGTGTGATCCTGCGTTTTGGCGTCCATGTGCCCCAGAGCATGAGTGACGTGGTCCTCGGTTGTGCTGTCAACGCCAGTCCCGCTACTCTGCTGGTCAACGTCAGCGGGCGATTTTACGAGTACACTCTGAGGGGGGAAGTCAGCCGTGGCAACGGTCACCAAGTGCAGGATGATGAGATGCTGAGAAAGGCAAGGGGGTGAACAGATGGGGGATTTAATGGAGGGTGCAAGTGCTAGCTTTGTTTGGTGTGTGCCCCTCTGGTATGAAAGTACCAGCTGGCAGGTGCCAAATGGGAGAAAATATGTCTTATAGTGTGTTAAACAGCCTCTGCAAACTTTGACGTATAAACATAATCTCTGTCTATAAAAATCTTAATTTCTAGTTTGCATACACAAACAGATGAGATTGATTGATAACTTACTCCTGTCTTCAGGTGACTTTTGACCCCGAAGTGTTTTTCAACATTTTGCTGCCTCCCATCATCTTCCACGCCGGTTACAGTCTGAAAAGGGTAAGAGGGTTTGGACTTATGATGCACTAACTATGTCATTTAAAAATTCAGATTTTTCACAAATTAGATCTTTAGAAGATAAGGTTACTTTTTTTTTCTTAATAGGCCTTAATGCACGCTTGCAAACATATTGAGATCCTTTTTTATGATCATTGTGATATTTGTCTGTATGGCCCCAGCCTAACTACTGGTACTAGACAGTCTCTGTTTTAATATATCGGTGACCCTGTCTGTCCCAGAGACATTTCTTCAGAAACATCGGCTCCATCCTGGCCTATGCTTTCATGGGAACAGTTATCTCCTGCTTTGTTATTGGGTAAGGCATTTGTCTATCTCTGAAATACATACATTCAGAGTAACAGATTGAAGATTTTGTCTAATTTTGCTTGATCGGTTTGTTGAATGGGCAAGCGGAGCCAGTGTCTTGACTTGTACACATTCTTCTCTCCTCCTAGGCTGATCATGTATGGCGTTGTGTCCTTCATGAAAGTCATGGGCCAGCTTGGGGGTGATTTTTTCTTTACTGACTGCCTCTTCTTTGGGGCCATCGTTTCAGCAACAGACCCAGGTAGGTAGGGCCGTATTAGCTTTCGGCTGCGAGGTAGTCTTTCTGTTCGAGGCCTTTCTTGCGCTCCTGTCCTGCTGTACAGTATTTGCGTGTCTTGTACTCTGAAGTGTATTTTTCTCCTCTGTGCCTCAGTGACGGTGCTGGCTATCTTCAATGAGCTAAAAGTAGATGTGGACCTGTATGCTTTACTCTTTGGCGAGAGTGTCCTCAATGATGCTGTGGCCATCGTACTCTCTTCGTAAGCATTCATTAATTACACACTGCAGATATATACACACACACAGCCCACGCAGAAACAACAGAATTGTCCACTTCTATTTCATCAAAGCAACAGTAGTTTCACATTCAAAGATAGATTGACATTTTTGTAAGTCTGTCTCAAAACAATAAAACTTCAGAAGATATTTATACAGTTTGTTTTGTGTGTCTAGATTCAGATGAACTTTAAAATACATTTTTACACAAAACGATGGCTGTAAAATTTGAATTGGGATTTAAAGAAATATTGTCATGGCCGGTATGGACAGGGTCAATAAATTGGCATCAGCATGCAAGTATTGCTTTGAGATGGACTTAAATGTGAAGCTATCCTTTCAATATCTAGTTCTGTGTTAATGACCTGCACTGTTGTGAGTCTAACTTAGAGGCGACTTCAGCTTTTTGTGTTGTACATTGCATATGAATGGACACTTATCATACTAACATCAGTCCCTGTCATTTCACTGCTTGCCTTCCTTCACCTGTCCGTGTCGTTCTCCGCCTACCTGTACGTATGTATGCAGTGTTCTCCTCCGCTGGGAGAAGCAGAGTAGACGGGAGGCTGGAGCTGTGCGCTCCCCAGGTGACGATGGCCCAGTCTGGCCAGAGAGGGAGGAGGAATGGCTGGGAGAAAACCAGACATTCACTCCCCGGTGGGTGGGTGGGTGGGTGGGTGGGGGGCTGTTTGAGTGGTTGAGTTATAGGGTTAGAACCTGATCATTTCAACTCAGTCGCTGTGATGCTTATTTTATACCTAGAATGTAGCCTTGAACCACCAGCCATTAGAATGATCACTGTTCTCCCCTGCTACCCTTTCATATCCATTCTTTGTCTGATTTTTTTTATTTTTTTTTCCTATGCTCCATAGACCCTGCAAATAACCAGAAATTTCTTATTTTTTCAAATCAAAGTTTTGGTAAATTAGTGTACAACATGCTTATTACTGGTGAATATTAGTGCGAGTGGTTTACGTTGTTGGTCTTGATGTCATTTGTGCACCACTAGCACCTTAATGCACTGTTTGCCAACCCTTTCGATGATGCCTGTCTGTTATGCATTAGGAAGATAGTTATAATGCTTTATTATCTGCTTATAGCACTGTATAATTATAGTTATAAGCACTCAAACATATTCATAATGCTTTATAACAATAATCATAACACATTAAAGAGCATTTTATAATGACTTATAAGGTCTTATACTATACCTATATTCTTATTGTTGTCATACATTATTATCTTTTCATAATACATTGTGATCACTGTTATAATGCACTATAATGTAATTATAAGTTACTCTAAGTGGTCATTGTTTGCTTTAAGTAATGTAAACTTCTTGTGTGTTGTTCTTGAATAGATTTAATGATTCGTCTTTTCACTTTACGTCACACAAACAATAACCCCTTGAAATGACTTACAATCACATTATAATGCATTATAAGTAAAGTATGTTTATAATGTATTATAAAACGATTAAAGTGAATGCTAACAATAGCGTTTCTTATTGATGCTCTTTTTGGATATCAATTGGATATTGGAATGGTCTTGAGAGATCCAAGATCCAGTTTGATTGAAGCATGCAAGATCCTAACTTCCTCCCTTTTTGTGACTGTAAAACCCAACTCCATGTGTTTAAAGTCTTTTGTTACCTTTTTTTAAGGGGGAAACCAAAATCTCCTAAATTTATGCAAAAATCAGATAAACACCAGGCTGTTGATATCAGCCATTATTGGATTTGGGTTGCTGCGGGTTTGATTTGATGCCTGACTTTGTTTGTTTCCTTTCTGGATTCTTAGTAAGTGCCTATTTCCCTTTTCCACGTAAATGTTTTTATTTGCTTGTACTTCTGTTTATCTGCACTCCAGCTCTATTGTGGCGTACCAGCCTGCAGGAGACAACAGCCACAGTTTTGAGGCCATGGCCATGTTGAAATCCTTCGGCGTCTTCCTTGGCGTCTTTAGTGGCTCCTTTGCTCTTGGGGTGGCCACTGGATTCATGACGGCTCTCATATCCTTTCACCTGTTGCTAACCATTACATAATTTATGTACACAGGTATGCATGGGCAGATAGGCAGCAACAGAATAACACTAGAGGGTTTAAAACAGAGGTCCTCTTACTCATTTAAGTTGCTGCTGTTTAATTATTATATGGGCAGCTTCAAGTCTTATCTGACCTGGAACCAGACACGCTGTTGTGGTTGTCCCAAGAGGAGTAGCCTGAATTGTGTCCTTGCACAATAAGAGAGAACAATGCTTCCTTACTTATACAGTTTACACAGCGATGCCTTTCTTAACTCATTTCCATTTGTACACTGCAGGTCGACTGTGTATGCGCTACCTCTTGTTTTGCTCCTTGACTTTCAGTTTTCGTCACGTGACCAAGTTCACTAAGCTGAGGGACTTCCCCTTGCTGGAGACGGCGCTCTTCTTCCTCATGTCCTGGAGCACCTTCCTATTGGCCGAAGCCTGCGGGTTCACAGGTACACCTGTGTACACGGCACACGTGCATGCAATTTAAACTGTGAATTTGGGCATTTCATTTGTCTTGTAATACATCTCACCATAACTTCTGCTGCTCTGTAGATCCACATTTCATGAAAGTAATGCTGCACGAAAATGCTTGTGCCGCCCTCCAGTGAAGTATACTTCAATGCGTTCTGAGTGATACTGAAGTGACACCTGTGTATGTTTGTTTTTATTCAGGCGTAGTGGCTGTGCTGTTCTGTGGCATCACTCAGGCTCACTACACCTTCAACAATCTCTCCCCGGACTCGCAGGACAGAACCAAACAGGTGATGTACAATCTCATATCTTTGGTCGCTTTTACTCAATTTATTTAGATGCAAATCTTACCTCAATTCTGCCTCCTTCTCGGTTTTTAGTCCTATCATTAAAGATGCTTTTATGCTGCTATTTTTTAGCTACCCATCTAAAGTAGTAACTAAAGTAGTAACTCCAAAGTGACGCGAATGCAATGTGAACTTCTCTGTTTCAGGTATCCTGCAGTTTGTTTGCAATAATCGTTTTTCTCTTCCCCCATCAGTTGTTTGAGCTGCTAAACTTCCTGGCAGAGAACTTCATCTTCTCCTACATGGGTCTGACTCTCTTCTCCTTCCAGTCACACGTCTTCAACCCTATGTTCATCGTCGGAGCCTTTGTATCCTTTACTCTGATTGGTGTAAATGCTCCAGAGACGATTGGTTATCTGGAGATGACTGATGTTGCACATAACCACTTCCGTAAATGTTTCCATGATGCCATAGTTCTTGTTGTTGTTAAGGATCAGTCACAGAATGTTGTTTCTTACTTTTTTATCTACAATAGACTATTTTAAGTTACACCTGTCTGCATCATGTCTGCCGATGCTGATGATAATAGTGTATTCATACAGTATATGTATTTTAAAGAATGTTTCAGTGATTGAAGGAGCCTGAGAACATCAGCAACATTTAAAAGACTGATGAGTCAGTTGAAACTGCCATCTACCCACGATTATATTCCATCCCAGCTTGCCCCATCTCTATTACTTTGCAGTGTGTTGTGTCCTTGACCCTCCTTGTGTAGGTGGCAGTGTTTCTGGGCAGGGCTGCAAACATCTACCCTTTGTCCTTCCTGCTCAACCTGGGCCGCAAGAACAAAATTGGATCCAACGTTCAGCATGTCATGATGTTTGCAGGTACGGAGCTGTGACAGTAAAGTCTTTGATGTCAGATAACCAATCATTTTACATTTCTCAGGCTTGGACCAGAATGAATAAACTACTTCACAGCTGGGACCTGGTTCCATTAAATCAGTGGAAAGGATGATTAAACCCTGTCGGCCTAGATGTTGGTGTGTGAAGACAGTCTCGTTCTAGACCAACAACACTCCTACTAGAAGTCCCCTACATGTCTGTGCACATAATTGTTTCCAACACCTGCATCAACATAACTGCTTGGGTGGATCTTGCCAACTGATGTGCAGTAGTTCGCAAATAATGAACCAAAGAACAGCAACATTAAGTTAAATATATGTTGTGGCTTTTCTTGAGTTAATGTTAAATTTAAAAAATGCTCACCGCCTCACTCAACGTCTCTCTCACGCTGTCCTTTTAGTGACACACACACACACACACACACACACAGTTTCTCAACCTCACACTGTCTTTGTTATCCGTCCCCCCCAGGACTGCGCGGGGCGATGACCTTTGCTCTTTCAATCAGAGACACGGCGACTTACGCCCGCCAGATGATGTTTTCAACTACCCTCCTAATTGTCTTCTTCACAGTCTGGATCTGTGGAGGAGGCACCACGCCCATGCTGTCCTTCATGAGCATACCGTAAGGCTGTGCATCTGTTTGTATGCATCTGTCTCTCTGTGTGTTTCACCCCATCTATCGAATATTTTTTGCTGTCAACGTCACTGTGGCTACTTTTTCTCTTTCAGGGTGGGTGTGGACTCTGATCAAGACCACTCTGTAAGTAATTAGCACAGATTAAAGTCTCTTGTTTTTGAAAATAAATTTGTTTTGGTTGCTTTGTCTAGTTGATAACCCTAAATATAAGTAGAAATGTTTAAAACTAAATGTTTTGCTGGACAGAATTCAGCGGTGTTGGATGGGTCCCAGTGCAGGAACACCAAACATGAGAGCGCCTGGCCCTTCAGGATCTGGTACAACTTTGACCACAAGTATCCTTTCAGCCATGGATCACGTCTTTGAGGTCCTCCCTTCAGAAATGTGGATGCTTGATTCAGCTTTGCACACCAGAGGGTGCACTTTCCAAACTGTCAGAAATATACACCAGTAACTTCATCTTTCTGGACAGGAGGGGGTTCACAGATGAGGCTCTGATGATGGTTAGATTGTTGGCCAATTAAATTGTTTAATTGAAAGTAAGTGTTGTAAAAACTGTTAATAATCCTTGACAAAAGTTTGTTCTCCAGCTACCTGAAGCCCCTCCTGACCCACAGCGGCCCTCCTCTCACTGCTACGCTGCCTGCTTGTTGTGGACCGCTGGCACGATGCCTCACCAGCCCACAGGCCTATGAGGTGTGGACACACTGCATGATGTGGTCCAGTTAAAGTGGCACTAGTTAACATACGTGGATATTTATTCATTTAATAGTGTCATTTGACTTTGATCTTTTTGGTTTCTTTATTAATTGTAAAGAAACCACAAAAGAATGAACTTTGAAACACAGTTATTAGTCTTTGTCCATGTATTTAAAGACGAGTATTTCGCTGAAGTTGCAGTTTTTCAAGGTCTTCTCTCCTGTGATTGTATTCATCCTCATCTTTTTATTCCCTGGCTTTTCTCGCGTCACATAAATTTTTTCCATTTCCCTTTACAATCTCCAGAACGAAGGCCAGCTCTTCGACGATGACTCGGACTTCATCCTGAACGATGCCAGCGTGAGCTCCATGTACGCCGACGTCACCGTCAGCATGGACGCATCCGGCCGCACCATCAACCGCTCCTCCGGCGCAAGGGGCGGCCCGTCTGACGAAGGTCTGGACCACGAGCTGGCCGTAGCGGAACATGAAGTGTCCATCAGGGGCACCCGCCTGGTCCTGCCCATGGATGACCCAGTGGAGCCCCCGACCACTGTCACCCTGCCCCCGCCTCCCTCCCCGCCACGCTCCGAACCTCGCAGGCACAGACTGTAAGACAGTTTACACCATCAGAATGCAGCTAATTTGATTTCACAAGAAAATAGCATCTGTTAGTTGATTTGTTCTTGTAAAACAAACTGATTCACGTAAGTGGCCATGTTGACGGGACCAGTTCTCTAAAATGGTTTTAAAATAGGCCCAGCTTTGTGACTAACTTGAGGAGCACTTGATTTAATTAATTTAGATGGATTACTGTAATCTTGTGAATGCACTACATGTAAGATACTGTTTATCGAGTGCACCTCAAGTCTAAAGGTTACTTAGAAGAAATGGGGCTGTTGTATTTGCTCCTACGTTTGTACTCCTGTGGTGATATGCCAGTGCTGTTACCTATGCTCTATATGAGCCCCGACTCCCTTTGACTCTATGGGGAGATCCCTAAATGTTAGATATGCAGTTTACCCTTTTCTTTGTGGTGATGTTGCTCCAGACAACCTGTACGTGTCTCGCTTCCTACAAGTATTTGTAAGATGACCTACAGTCTCATTTAGCACATTTTACCGGCACTCTAAAACTCTGCTCTAGTACCACTTACTAACATTCAGTGGTGTCAAAGAATATTTGCACTACAGCCTCATTACTAATGTTTCTCATCTATCCACAGACTGAATAATAAGTTTGTCTCCCTCTCAAAGTTAATATGTGGAGAAGGTTCAGAGGAGGAACTGGGGATTGTGAGTAGCCGAGGTGGGAGACATTGACGTCTGTGATGGAAGCAGAATTAGCAGTTTTGAATTTTGATTTTTTTTTTTTTTCAATATGTTCTCCAAGATTGTAAGAAGATGCCATTCGGCTCTTAAATCTTAAATTTGAGCACTGCCTGCGTCTTTTCTTTTTGATCAGTTCTTTTACGTATTCATTTATTTATTTAACAACAAATTATTTATTTATATAATGATTTATTTTGTTTATTTAATATTTATTTATTGTTTTGTGACATTAATGATTATATTGCCCTGTTCGAATATAGGGCTGCTCGTTGGGCAAAGGCTGTTTTTTTTTCCTTTTTCCTAACGAAGCACTACAACTCTTCCCACACACGGTACATTGTTCAGCAGGGAAGTCATGCGGGAGGTGGAGATTCATCCCAGGAGTGTGTTCTTTACCATGTGTGTGCATGTTAAACCATCTCCTTCCTGTTCTGTAGCACATCCTTCTACTTTATTTGAAACTAGAGCTTCCCTGCGTGTGTATTTTTATAGGTTTGTGTGTGGCTGATGTCAGAATGAAATTATACAAATCTACTAATGTGGTAGTCAGGGCTAATGTCTGTTTCTGTGTTTTCTGTCTTCATCTGATTTCATCTTCTTTCAAAAAAAACAAGGTAACTGCTGTTTTCTTTGTGATGTCGTATCATCAAAGATGACTGAGGGCTGGATGAACTGTTTTAACTTAAAGTGCCTATTCAGAAATTCAATTACTTAATGTAAATTTGTATATATTTTGATTTGCGGATGTGCAGTAATATTAACTTTCTTGGTTTTTATATGACACAAACCCCTTTTGACTGATGTTGAATATTGTGCTCCCATATAATTGGGCCATTAGGTGACTGCCTATGCTGGAGATGACAAAAGAGTGCACACTAAAACATTGTACTTTTATTAATGGGAAATACGTATCACTAATATTTATTGAATAGAACAATTCTGGGGAATGTGTAGTAAATATCACATTTACTTAATCAAAAAGTGAAACTATTGGGGGATGTATTTGAATGCAACAAGAAGCCTCATGTTCTAAGGTCAACGGAAAGACAGGAGGACACCGGTGACTTTTTCCCAATGCAGTGTTAGTCTTTATATTCTGTTCCCACCTCAGTGAGAGATGTTTTGCACTGAGGCATAGTTAACCCTTGTTTGTGCTGTTTTCTGCTGGGTGATTTTAATGACTGAGGTAGGAATTAATACCTGATAAAAATCCCATTTTCAAATGTTCATATGTGCGTTTTACTGTGTCAGGCTGCACATGAGTTGTCTTTTTGATCTAAATGTTATTCTTAATAAGATTCTGCATAATTATCCAGAGGACCAGGGAATTTACATTATTTCTATCAGTAAGGTACCTTTTGATTTGTTGTTTTAAATGTTATTGAACCCTAAAAACATACTATGTTGATATGGTAATTTTAAAGAAACAACCGCACCTATAACTAAAAATCTGAAAATGTTTACTGTCTGTAAAAATGGTTAAAGATAGTCGTATTTGTGAAAAGTACACCTGCAAAGTCTAAACGTGAATGTTTTTTAAATGTGAACTTTCAGTCTGACATCTGCAAGTGTAGCCTACCTGAAGATAATAAAAACGATTCTTGCAAATGTCGAGTCTTTGCTCTTTCAGATTATGCAGTATAGGGTGTACCCTGCAGGATGTTGTTCTATATCATGAGGCTATTAAGGCTTACATTATCTCACTTTTTATTTCTTTTACATCTCTTCAATCATTCATTCTTTAAAAAAAAATACTTTTCGTATTGAAGTACAATATGTTCTCCTTTGACTCATTCATAAAGAGCCCTAATGACAATTGAGCAAACCTCATCCGCTGAGCCCTGGAAAAAAAACTTAGTAAGTGGACATTGAGTTCATTTAGTTTTTTGCAGGCCTACTATTTCCAAGGTCAAAGATGAATATTCACACTATTTTCTGCTTTACCTCAAATCATGCTGGCAAAATATAATTACTGTCTTGCTGGTAACACTGACATATTACACACTAATGTAACGAGGCTACTGCCTTTTCAGCGCGTTTGTACGTTTTCTCAAAAAGTTGGTGTGTGTGTGTGTGTGCGTGTGTGTGAACGACACATTTACTTTTATTTTGATGACTCGAGCAGATACTCTTAATTTGAAGGTGCAACATAGCATTTCCCGTCTTGGTTTGTTCCCCGTCCAGCTTGACGCAGCCGCAGATGGCAGTACTTATTATTCGCGTGAGGAGGGTCTTGGGTTAAAGCCGACACCCGCTGCCTCCACACGGGTCCGAGAGCGCCGCTCCTCCACGCCGCCGCAGACGTCACCCTGAACCCGGTAAGCTGACTGACGAGCAGCGCAGTTTATTTACTGTCTTCTGAAACTTGTTCTCAGATAAACCAGTTAGTCTGCTGCAGCGCTGCTTTTCATTTTGCACTTTCAGCATGTAGGTGATGGAGTTGAGCCGCACTTTCACTGCCCTATAGTAGTACATTGTTAATATGTGACCGTTATGAAGTTATAGATTTTAATGTCTGATCACATTTACAGTATGTCCCGCTGACAAAAGTACAGTAGCCTGGCATGTAACTCTCTTCATCTCTCATACATTTTTAAGATTTCGTACACATTTCAATTGCAGCATTTTTGATGTCCAGAGAGGAAACAAGACCCTGCAGTCTGTCTGGGGCGTTGGCTGTCTGTCTGTCTCTGTACATGTGTGTGTGTGTGTGTGTGTGGGTGTGGGTGTGTGAGGGAAAGAGAGCTACGGTTACATGCTGACTTGTGAAAGCCTGGACTGCTCCTGAAATCTGTTTCCAGTTAAGAAGTCTCCATTTTTCGCTCAGTGTGATGGAACCGCTGAGGCTAAAAAATGCATCAAAGAGGTCAATTAAAATCCCTATAGGCTACTGCTATTTTTCATTGTCCTGTGTGTGTGTGTGTGTGTGTGTGTGTGTGCGCGCGTTTATATCCATGCAAGTGATGTATTTGGCTTCAGTGTTGGCTCTACCAGATGTCAGACTCTGCAAGTGGTTGTAAAGTAAATTCAGGATCCATACGTGAGACTGAACTCTTTTCTCTTTCACATACAGATCACACACAGCTTGTGTGACTGTGAATTTATTGAAAAAAAAAAAAAAGAAGATAATTTGTCTCTTAAGTTAAATGACTCCAAACAAACAAGACTAAAAGAGGAAGGAGACATTTTCCAGTAAGATTGCAGAAGGAAACCTCATGTCACAGATGTTGCAACTGGGCTAAAGGTCTGGATATATAGGCTACTAAACGTTGCTGATTTTTACAGTCATATACTTGCAGTGTTACAGTAATTTCCAACAGCATGCACTGTCACGCATGCATAAACTCACAGACAGTAAGTAAACCAAGACCCATATGTGTGGCTGACCCTTCGCTGCCTGACACACACACACACACATACACACACAAGTTTTTTTAGCCTGTTTTAAAGCCGGTGCCTGCATGTTTAAGAAATTACCATGAGCTCAGTCCCATAAAATACATCACAGGCTCGTAAAACTTGACACAATATGTCTGACTTCATGTCATGGTAACTCCCTGTTGTGTTTGTCCTGTAGTGACAGTAGTAGGATAGAATGTAAACGGGATTCAGACGCTACGTTCTTCTTTTATCCCCAATGGTAAACACCGTATTTTTAATAGAGGCTTTTTAATGGAGTTCAGCGGTTTTCGTGCTCCGACGGGTTGAAGGTTAAATAAGTTTTCACTGGGTAACTTGGCTGGATGTTATCTTTTACCTGCGGCCATTGAAGCCTGCTGTGATGTGTTTGGACGCACTGATATTAATCAGTGTTTGCCAAACTGACAGGAAAAAAGCTTTTGTGCTATTTTGTGGAAGGAGGCAAAGCTATCGATACCGAAGGCGCCAAGGATGACTACGAGAAAATGGGCAGCAGCTGCCCGACCAATGAAATGGTTCGATGTTACGATGTGTTAAGATATTTTGGAAAATGATTTGTTGTTTTGGGAGATAAAAATGATTATTTTAGTTACTTGAGAGGATTGATGCCACTCTTATATAAATAACAAAAGCTACGCAGGCTTTGTACAAAGGCAACAAAAAAATAGTGCAACTTTAGCTCAACAATTAAATATATATTGTATTTATTATATCTCATTTATTTCATCCGTACAAAAGTGTAAAAATGTATTTTTCTTGGCCTGGAGCATCGACTTCCTGGATCTTGCCTGGCGACCGGTAACGCCACAACCTTTACACTAGTTTTTGTATGGATTGAGCAAACAAGATATCACATGTTTATGAGCTTTAGAGCTGGCACTCTAGGCACATGTCGTTACCTTGTGACTGTTCCGTTTCAATGCTAAGCTAAGCTAACGGTCTCCTGACTGTAGCTTCATACTTCACGCACAGACACGAGGACGGTATCCATCTTGTCATCTAGCTCTCGACAAGAAACATATTTCCTGTAAAGATAACAAACTTTACTCGTATGAATAGGGACAGACGGGGGAGCATTTTAAAGGAGTGGAGAAACTTAAACACAGATGTTTCCTCACTAGAGGTATGAAAATGACTTTGGAGCTACATGTTAGACATCACTCTGAATATCTTTTGTGAGAATGCAGTTTCATCCCTTCAGAGTTGTAGAGTTGAGGCTTGTAAAATCAGAAATATTGACGTTCTGGAGACTCGTGGTGGTCCAACTAAGACACTCGACTACGTTGGTTCTTCCTTTAATCTGACACCCATCTGTGAGGTCGTTCAGCCTCGTGGTTTAACGGTTAAATTGACGGTACATGATCTAATGCTTGGTCTCCTGAATGACAGTGTATGTGTATTACTTCTAAATTGTCATGTTTGGCATTCATTTAGAAATGGTTGAGTTCAAAGTAAGGGTTTCGTGTGGTCTCTGACTTTTTAGGTTTAGAATCTGGGCGAATGGTTAGAAACTGAGATTTGCAGGGATTTGGTTGGTTGGAGATTTATGAAGGGAGACTTTGGAAGCAAACAAGCCCTCAAGACAGCACCGAGGGCTCAAATGTCCCATTAGATCATTTTAGCATTAAATTTAGCTTTGGACCTTCAGTATTGCTCCAACAGGACTGATGAGGAGCCAATGTGGGGAGCGTCCCCTCACTCTCTCTCACACACACACACACACACACACACACACACACACACACACACACACACACACAGAAAATGTCATAGATATTAGTGGAAATGGAAATTGGTCATACATTGCTGCTGCTGAGGGGTCCTGTTTTGTCAGCTGCTCTGTTCTGAAAGACGTCTTGGTTACTGAATCAAGGCAAGAACAGAATATGAGTGCAGAAACAGACGTGTTTAACTCAGATGAAGAGAGATTGAAGTACAGCAGACCAGCAGCTTCTGGTGAAACCATCCTGTCTGTCCCGTGGTAGTGGGACATGCTGCGTTTCTTCTCCTCGCTCGACGCGACTCAGATCTGTTGTCTCGGCTGTATTTCACTGTCTGGAATGTGCCTCACCGGAGCCAAAGAAAACGATTATCTTCCTTTGTAGGCTGACGGGGAGGACAAATGTTTATCTGAACTCGCTGCTCAGTTTCAAATGCTGATAGTGTGTGTTTATTTTTGAGATGGCACGACTGGAACAGAGGGTGGGAATGCTCCTCGTGTGATGCTGGGCCATAATGGGAGATGCAGTGGTCTTTAAAGCTGCTCTTGTCGATATACTTGTGTTAACGATGGATCGAAGGACACAGAGAAGTATTACTCCCCTGTGCCGCTCCCCTCCGACCTTTTTAGCATCTTTCAGTTCATCATTTTGGGTTTGAAGCAGCCAACGTTACTGTCTGATACATAGTGGAGCATTTAGCGGCTAAAGAGCCAGATATGTCCCTCAGGAGTTGGTGGAGACCAAAGTAGAGCTAAAAGAACATTATTCGTTCACTTTGATCTCTTCCTGTTCTACAATGAATACATTTTTGTAAGATATATTTAAAATGGATATTTTGTGCTTTCAGAGTTTCAACCCGAATCTATTTTTAAACCACCATCAAGAGATCTTCTACCGGCTGCCACACAAGTCAAAGATCACCTGCAGCACACACTGAATGTAACATGAGTTCAGACGGATGTGCATCTGTAGG